CTCCAGAGTTAATGTTAACCATGTTCATTATTTAAATTATTGTGTACATGCAAAGTCTTCATCTCCAGAATGAATTTCTCTTTAATTCCAGACTGGTATATCCAAGTGACTCCTTGATATCTCCATGTATATCTCAAAATTATGGGAAAATTCAACCTGTTTACCATCCAAATAATGATCTACCCTTCAACTCCAAACTTGGTCTTCTTTGAAATCGAGGAGCCATCTTTGATACCTCTGCCTCTCTCACTATCTATATCTATCTAATCCTGTTGACGTTAACTCTTATCAATATTACTTTTTAGTATTATTTTTACTCTCTCACTACCTATATCTATCTAATCCTGTTGACGTTCACTCTTAATTTATCGATATTACTTTTTCAATAGCTCCCAAATCTGCCTACCTTTTTTCTCCCCTTCCCCCATAGTAGGCTGCGTTTCCAGTAACACCAGAAGCACTACGATTTTTCTCCTAGTTGATCGCCCCATATCCACTCCCACTCTATATAATTTACTCTCTGAACTATAACTGGTAGGGCTTTTCTATGAAAATGCTTGGCTGGGCATGGTGGCTCATGCCTATAATCCTAGCACTCTGGGAGGCTGAGGAGGGAGGATTGTTTGCGCTCAAGAGTTCAAGACCAGCCTAAGCAAGAGTGTCTCTACTAAAAATAGGAAAGTTAGCAGGTCACTGTGGTGGCACTATAGTCCCAGCTACTCGGGAGGCTGAGACAAGAGGATCGCTTGAGCCCAAGAGTATGCGGTTGCTGTGAGCTAGGCTGACACCACTGCACTCTAGCCCTCTAGACTAGGCAACAAAGTAAGACTGTCTCAAAAAAAAAAAAAAAGGAAAAATAAAATTCTTGCTAGATCCCTGCTCCAGCATTTCACTGCCTTTCAATGTGCCTGTCATCTTAAAAGATACGCCTACCTCAGCAATGGCTTCACCTCCCATTCCTCTCTTTCCCTCCTCCACCTCCAGCACATTAGTTCCTCATGCTTCCCTGTGCCCTCTGCCAGGGACACTCTCTAACCCTCCCTGCCTCAACTATTTTCCTTTACACATCTGCCCAATAATTACTATCTATTTCAGTGATGCTTTATCAAAAAAGAGAGAGAAAATCTTGGATACCTCAAGTCAGTCTATGAGCCTTTGTCCACATCTAGGTCACTTATGCACAGATGACACTTATCTTCTTTCTTATGTACCCACAGAGATAGGTTCTAAGTGAGATAGTGTAGATAGGTCTAAAAGTCATAGCTGCTTATAGTGCTAAGCATGAAGGAACGCTTAAAAGCCTGTTGTGTCAATTATTATTTTTTAAATGAAAAATCAAAGCTTAAGGGACATGTGGCCCAACCATTCATTTGATGGTGATTCTTTTTTTTTTTTTTTTGAAACAGAGTCTTACTATATCGCCCTCAGTAAAGTGCCATGGCATCACAGCTCACAGCAACCTCAAAATCTTCAAATCACTTAGGCAATTCTCTCGCCTCAGCCTCTCAAGTAGCTGGACTACAGGTGCCCACCACAGAGCCTGGCTATTTTGGGGTTGCCGTTATCATTGTTGTTTAGCTGGCCCAGACCATGTTCAAACCTGCCAGCCTGGGTGTATGTGGTGGCGCCCTACCCACTGAGCTAGGGGCGCTGCCCTTGATGGTGATTCTTGAATCACAAACTACCATTTGTAATCACCTCTATGAACAGACCAAGTATTCATTCTACTCTGAACACTCTTCCAGTGGTCGTCAGATCCAGCCAACTATGAGTTGCTCCAATTATGCTCTCATTCTACGAACATCTCTCCATCTGATCATTAGAATTTGTACCAAATATAATGCCAGAGGCCAAAGGCCTCAAACAATAATTTCTAATACATTACCCTTATTTAATGATGTACCATTTCTGTTGAAAAAGTAAAGGTGCTTGATCTAATGCTTTGATCTTAAAAATCCAAATGCTAAGAACTAATGTTGAATTTCATTCTTTAAGTCTAGAAAGACACCCTCACTGCCACCCACCACCATCACCTAACCTCACCACCACTCAGCCACTATTAGCAGTCAGAGAGATATTCAACACAAGAATGCTCAAGTACCAACTGAGTGGACCTTAAAATGTATTACATGTATAATTTTATTCAGCTGATGTCCATTGAGCACTTAGTCCTTTCTTTTTTTTATTAATGAGCACTTAGTTCTTCACAAAAAGTATGTACTGGATGTTTTCTCCATCCCAGACCTTACGCTAGGCCCTAAGTATACAGTGGAAAGTGAAATTGATACAGTCTTTGCCTCAATTGAGGGAGATAGTCATTAAACAAGTACAGCCACTAAATTCTCTTAGTGAAAGAAGCAAGAGAAGCATAACAATTTTTTCCGGCTGAATTAAGCAAAAGCTGTGCCTGGAGAGTAATCAGATTATGCAAGTCCTTGTATATCATCCAAAGGACTCTGAGTATTAGGACAGTGGAACCTGCTAAGGGATTTAAGCAGAGAAGCGGCCTGACCAGCTCTTTCTGAAACGTAAATCTAGTCATGCAATTGTCCATGCAGGAATTGGCTCTCTGTCAGGTGGCCCTGCCTTCTCTGTCCAATACATTCCTCTCTTTACCCATATCCACAAAGGATCCCTTACCTGAGACTCTATTAAAGTAAGAATGGAAATTAGTGTTGGTTGAGGCATAACCTCATCCAAATGAAGGAAGGCACCATTACCAATAATTAATCTTTTGCATATAATCTATCAAATGCATTTATATTTACAGAAACGTATTTGTTGTTTACAGCAACCTTATGGAACATACAGTTGTGACTACTAATGTCTTAGCCCAGAGTTACAAAGGCATACCTGCTCAAGTTCTGTTCTGGGTCTTCTTCTGGCAACTGGGTATATCCTACTCTGACCTTCACCCTATTCTAAAACACTTGGCTCCAAGTCAACCTGCTCAGTTACTTGTATCAAAGCTGCTAGACTAATTACAGAGGGTGTTCAGTCACTCTGTGTATCCAAGGTCTCGGAGTTAACTCTCTGAGGTAGAGATTTCAGCTGTGTCCATAGCTCTGCATATGCCTGTGTATATTCAGCACCACACGTACCAAATTCCAGAAAGCAGACAATTCAGTTCAACTCTAACATAAAATCCAACTCTACCCTAACTAAAAGTCTACTGCATGATTTCACTTCAAAATGACACTGAAATTGCCAGGGAATGATTGTGGTGGTTGGATTGGGAAGATTAGGGTATCTAAGAAGAAAAATAGTTACTTCTAGGATAAATGCTTCTGAGTCAGCGCTCTCCTATTATTCGAAAACCATTACTCAGAGCTTTTTTCTATCCTCAGCTATCAAACATCTCTTGGCAGCAACATTTGGCATCAAGTTTGTCCCCTTGCTCCATCTCCAGAATTTTTGTGTGATTATTTGGAATAATTATAATTATTATTTGGAATATTTATATATATTATATGTGACACACATACATTACATATGTACATGTAAAGAACATGTAACAGAAGTTCCAGATCTAAGGGAATAGTCTAAATCTAAAACTCAGTGTCTAATACTAAAATTGTTTGAGCCTTTCATATTTTAAAATTTGGCAACTGAATTTATACCCCTTCACTTCCCTGCTCTAGGGCAAATGAGAAGGAACTCATGGAGGCAGAAAGAATGGAGTGAAAAAATAAAAGGAAAAAGAAACAAGAACTAATCCCACTTTTCCTTTTGGAATGATAGATTTTTGCTGGAAACAGTGTCTCTCAGTGGCTGGCCATCTCACTGGTCATATCAGAACTCCTGGGGCTCTGTTCTAACTACAGATGATTGGGGACCCACCCTAGAGTTACTGCATGAAAATATCTGGGAGTAGAGGCTTTTTTTAACAAGCACTATTTGTATACAAATAAGAGATTTAAAACAACTGGTATAATAAAGCCCTCAAGGCCCTGATTGTTTCTTCTTCATAATTTCACAAGTGGTCGTTGATTCTCAGATAAAGTGATTGGTTTGAAGCTGATAAAATTATCAATTTACCAAAAGACTGCAATAAACATAAAAGTTACAAAGCAATAGAAATACTTGCCCTTGTGAGTTCAATCATTCAATGAAGAAAAATGACAAAAACACATGAAAAAGACTTAATTAGTGGATGTGTGGCAGACGAGCACAGAGGCAGATACAAGGGCACAGGTCTCTACGTGCTCAGGAAAGCAAGGTCAGCAGGTGGGCAAACAAGGTGTCACTGGATGCCTTGCTCAGGAAGACAAAGAGTTTTAATCCAGAATTCTGAGTGACCCCTGTACCCCATGTTTGTATTAATGTATACAGCTATCATTTAATTAAAAAAAAAATTCTGAGTGATGAAGAGTAGTAAGGAACTACCAGTGCGTGGTAGAGCAAGCTCTGACTGAGAAGTCGAGGGATGTTGTCGTCCCAGTTCTACAACTGTGCGAAGCTGAGCCAGTCTTGTAAATTTTTTTTTTTATTCTGTTTTTTACTTGCACAACCAAAGCCAATCTTTGTTTCTTTATGCTCCAACCTCATGTGAGAAAATATTTACACAGAGAATATATACAAGTTTCTCCTGGCACTAGGATTCACTGACTCAAAATTTGTCCAAGTTTCTTTTGAGAGCAAACATTTGGTGACTCTATAGTTCAAACCCTCCCAACCGTGGAACTCAGAAGTACAGGAAATATCAATAAATGCCAACTGGAACCTGCTATTATCCACAGGCAATCATTCTGTTTACACATATCTTACAACTGTGAAATTATGAAACTAAGGTTCAATCAGAGTTCTAAAAGTTTGTATGTTGCCTAGAATTTCTGTGGTGAGTTCTGCTGGGGCACATCCCCGGTAAAATCAAGGCACCCCATCAGCCATGTCCGTGTGCTTCATTTAATGCAATTTTGCCCAGCAGTCATTTCCCCCCCCCCAGTTTTTTGCCGGGGCCGGGTTTGAACCCACCACCTCCAGTGTATGGGGCCAGTGCCCTACTCCTCTGAACCACAGGCGCCACCCTTGCCCAGCAGTTTTTTCATAGCATCTTTGACTTCTTTGTTTCTTAAGCTATAAATGATGGGGTTCAGCATAGGAGTGAGCACACCATAAAGCAATGAGATGATTTTGTCTATTTTTTGTGAGTTCGATGAAGAAGGCTTTAAGTACATGGAAAGGGCGGCCCCAAAATACAAGATCACCACCGTCAGGTGGGCACCACAGGTAGAAAAAGCTTTGTTTCTTCCCTCGGCGGAGCTGATTCTCAGAATAGTGGAAAGAATGAAGATGTAAGAGATGCAAATTAAGAGCATGGGAATGGGCAGGAGGAGAACGCTGACCACCAGCATGATGGTGTCCATGAGCAGCGACCTTGCGCAAGCCAACTTCAACACCGCCAGAATTTCACACGTGAAGTGATCGATGAGATTGCCACAGAGGGGGATCTGCAGCGCGAAACCGGTTTCCAGCAGGGCGGTCAGACAACCCGTCACCCAGGAGACCACGGACATCTGCACACAGACCCGCCTGTTCATGATGACGGGGTATCTCAGGGGGTTGCAAATGGCCACATAGCGGTCATAGGCCATCACAGCCAGCAGCACACACTCTGTGGAACCCATGGCAAGGGACAGATACATCTGCACGGCACATCCAGAAAAGATAATGGTTTTCTGTGATGACAGCAAGTTCACCAGCAAAGTAGGAATAGAGGCGGATGTGTAACAGATATCCATGAAAGAGAGATTTCCAAGGAACAAATACATGGGGGTTTGAAGGCGTGAATCTAGGACAATGATGAAAATCAGAGTGCTGTTGCCCAAGACGGTTATCAGATACATTACGAGGCTGAAGACAAAGAGAACCACCTCTAACCTTGGGTAACGGGAAAATCCCTCCAAGAAAAAAACGCTCCAAATGGTGAGATTTTCTCCTTGCATTTTCTTTCATTTGCAGTTATTCTAGTATTATTCTTTCCATTTCATCTGAGGACATAAAGAAATGAATAAAGTGTAGAATTTCTTTAGTTAAGAAAATACTCTCAAACTTATCTTTCCTATATTAAATGCAATTTTGCCACAAGAAATCATAAGAGAGTGTACTTATTGATCTAAGGGGAAAAATCATGAAAAGTTGATGCTTCTGCAATAAAATTTAGAAAACAATGTATTTGAAAGCAAGAACAAAAAAATATTTAAATTTGAATCTCAGCTCATAACCCTATGCTTGGCACACAGTAGATCTTCCAAAAAGCCTTGAAAAGTGACTGAATAAGGAAAAATATGAATGTACATTGAATAATTATTAAGTACAAATTAGAAAAGAAAGACAGGTGAGGAAAAGAAAGCTCCTCCGTACAATTAAAACCAGTACTGATCTTCACTGGAGGAAGAGGATGAATGTTGAAAGAAAGAAAATTTTAAACCAATACCTATCAAGTTCTCAGTCTAAATACACTCCGGCCTTTCCAGGTAAGAGCTTGGAGGTCTGTACACTAGTTTCAAAAAGGATGCCGTTGCTTCAAAGTGTTGCAGCTACTCATTTTGTGATTGTATTTGAGAGTAAACAAAATAACCCACCTCATTTAAACACTGATTTATCACAATAGAGTTTTATGCACTTTTCAGCCCCATATTTTTGTGAGTATATAAAAGGGTTCCAAAAATTATACCCAGGCAATACCTTAAGTACACATGAAAATCCATAAATATCCAGGAAATGCAGAAATTAAACTCCCTAAGAAAATTACCTTAAGATCTCCTTGAAAATAAGATTATAGATCTTCTAGTTATAAATGAGACCATTAAGACTATATTTTTACATTTCATGTTATTCACAAAAAAAGTTCTTCCAAAAAGCTGACTTGGCTTCTGCACTTACACTGCTCTTTAACGTCTTCAAACTTTTTCCTTCCTCACTGACTCTTCCCTTTCTATTTTCCAACATACCTGTTCTTAAAAAATTCCCTTCTTTGGGATGGCGCCTGTGACTCAGTGGGTAGGGTGCCAGCCCCATATGCTGAGGTTGGCAGGTTCAAACCCGGCCCCAGCCAAACTGCAACCAAAAAATAGCTGGGGGTTATATAGTTCCAGCTACTCAGGAAGCTGAGGGAAAGGAATCGCCTAAGCCCAGGAGTTTGGAGGTTGCTGTTGCTGTGAGCTGTGATGCTACAGCACTCCACTGAGGGCGACAAAGTGAGACTCTGTCTCTAAAAAAAAAAAAGTCCCTTCATTGTCACACTGTTTATGCAACCTGCCATCCTCATTTTGTTCTTTCTCTCAGAGACAAATTACGTTGTTTACGTGATAATATTTCAGTCTTCACTTTCTCATCCCTGGCATTCTTTCCTAGTCAATGTTCAGTCAATGTTATCATTCTTCTCCCAATTCTCCAAATTTAAAAAGGTGGCCGGCATGGTGAAAATAGTAATACATGACAATATCTTATATTATTATGTCCCTACGAGAAGGGTATGAAATTGTTCAAATTGCCTTTCTTACCATTATCTTCGACTTCTTCCACCATTATATCTATCTGGCCTTTTAATAAGCCTTTTCTTTCTTTTCTTTTTCTTTTTTCTTTTTCTTTTCAGTTATAGTCATCAGTCCCCAAGCAGCTTACCTGGCCCGTAATGCCAAATATACCTTTAGTATTCCAGGGAACGTCTGTCAGTATTACTTCTCTCCATGGTAACTGAAAAGGCAGAGTTTTAGCTTTTCTTCTCAAGAATTCCATTTTTCCCTTGTTACAGGAGTTGGTTCTTATTCATTTATTAGTTAACAAACTATTTCTTATAGATTTATTTATCAGATTTTATAGTTAATAGACTCCCTACAAAAAAAGATTATTATAAAAGATTACTTCAAAGAAAATTAATTTGGGGGGGTTCCTGTTAAGACTAGCAAATACAAATTTTTTAAAATAAAAAAAATCCCATTTGCCTCATATCTGATAAATTCTATTGTTTTAAAAATAGTGGCCTGAATTTTCTGTCACCAACTCCAAATGAAATATTGTTACATTTCATAAGGTTAGCTACACGGAAGAAAGAATGAATCATTCCTGTTAAAATGTTAAATGTAATTATGTAAAAATCAATAGTGCAATTCATTTCTTGCAAAATTATTGACTGTTAACACTCTGACTAAAAATACCAAAGGATAGCAACTGAAATACCATGGAAATTTAAATCATTTGTTGTTTTGGGGGAATACCTGTTGTCCCCAAACAATTTAAAGTTCAGAAGTTGTAATACACAGAGCTTTGAAACTTCAGATCCTTCAGGGATAATGTCCCAAAGACCCAATTATATCAAACTTTAAAAGTCAGATAGAGAATGAACCACAGCTCTTCCAAATACTTCCAAATAACTCATAAAAAGTATTCTATTCTCTTACTCCCTGTCAATCCCTACCAATGTCAAGACATTTATTTCATGAATGGTTATAGGGGAGAATGCTTAAAAGAGAAAATGCTTACAGAGAAAAGATATCTCTATAATTCTAAAATACATTTCTTATATTGGTGAAATTACTGCCTAATTTTCACAAATTAAGGAAAGAATATTTATTTCTTTGAGCCACAAATAAACCACTGAATGTCCCAACAAGGGAAAAGAAAGCTTATTCAATACACACATATCAAAAGCACATTAAGGCAATGAATCTTTAATAGCAATAGACATACTTACCACCCAAGATCTTGGTTTCTACACATCATTCTCAACTAGAAGGAAACATGGCTCCTTGGGAAAATGGCTGATACCACTGCAACAGCAGGAAAAGGACAAGATTAACTTAGAGTATCTTATCATAGTAGAACATAAGAAGCATGCAAAGAATGATGGGGATATAATAAAAGGTCATAGACGCCCACCTTATGAGGCCCCCATTGGAAACCCAGGACAGATTATTTAGAGCATCAAAATAAAATATGATAATAATGGGTTATAATTCATAGCATAAAATAAAAATGCCTGAGTTCATTATGATATAAATAAATAAGAATGGAAAGCTCTTCCTCACAGTAGTAAAATGCCAAAAAATAAATAAAGAAGAATGATGTTAGGACTAATGAATCACAGTTAAAGGTTATTGTAAGCAATAGGTTATCATAGGTAAAGGTTGCCGCAGGTAGACGTAGGTAAAAGTTGGATGATGAACAGGATAATGACATGGTATCAGAATAACCTACCCCAAATTACTTAGTAATTTCAAAGATAAAATAATAAATGTATAGTAAGGAAACATGAATGATGACCATCATAACATCACCAATACTGGGACAGATGGACTCCATGTGAGCCTTCTGATATGATCAACTGAGGACAAAATATCACCTCTGTATATAGAATAAACCACCTGAGTAGCCAGTCCTCATGGTAGGCACCTGTAGTCCCATCTACTCAGGAGGCTGAGGCAGGAGGATCACTTGAGCCCAGGAGTTTGAGGTTGCTCTGAGCTATGACACCATTGCACTCCACCCAGAGCAACAGAGTAAAACTCAGCCTCAAAAAAAACACACCTAGATCTAATCATGAGGGGAAACCTACAAACTAACACTGAGGGATAATTCCATAAAATAATCAGCCTATACTTTTCAAAAATATCAAGGTCAGGAAACAAAAAGTAAAATGAAAAAAATGTTGAAGTGTGGTCACGTACGATGGTTCACACCTGTTATCCTAGCACTCTGAGAGGCTAAGGTGTGTGGATTGCTTGAGCTCAGGATTTTGAGAACGGCCTGAGTAACAGCATGACCCATCTCTATTAAATAGAAAAACAAGCCAGGCATTGTGACAGGCACCTGTAGTACCAGCTACTCAGGAGGCTGAAGCAAGAGGATCTCTTAAGCCCAAGAGTCTGAAGTTGCTGTGAGCTATGACATCATGGCACTCCACCCACAGCAACAGTGAGTCTCCGACTCAAAAAATATATATATTCCAGACTAAAAAAGATGAAAGAAACATAACAACTAAATGCAACACATTAGCCAGCATTAACTCTTAGACCAGGAAAAAAAATAGCTATAATTGACATACATTATTAAGGCAATAGATAAATTTTGGATATAGAATTAGATATTGGTATTGCATCAGTGCTAAATTTTTAGATCTTCCTAATTATACCATGGTTCTGTAAGAGAATGCCCTTGTTCTTAGGAAATACATACTGAAGTATTTAGTATTTATAGCTCTAACTTACCTTTAAATAATCCATAAAAACATATTTTGTAAAAGTTTGCTTGAGCTACATGTCGACAGCGGGTACTTTATTGCCACATTCGTTTTGCAAGTCACACAGTTCCCACATTTTTTGTGTCCCATGTTTTCTGTGTTCATTTGCTCTGGATCACTAAGGGTAAGTGGATGCTCCTGATAAAGGACTAGAAGAATTCTATCATACCATATAAGTAAGCAAATATTTTCCATCTTAGGAAAAGAAGTAGCAACAACATATTGAATAATATAGGAATTTAAAAGAGAGATAATTAAGTGGTATAATGATATTCGGGGGATAATGGCCTACAGTGGCCCACACAGCATGAGCTCAGAATGGTTGAAATGACTACACCCAATGGGCTTGTTAGATTGTAAAACACGGGAAACATCATAGAGTTACTCATTACACTTTTAAATAATATTAATCGAGAAACTATTTTCCCAAAGGTCAGTGCCCACAATAAGTCCCTCCTACCACCATGCAATAAGAGAACAAAAATGCTATAAGAAAACGTACAATGAGATGATTGTTTATGTAGAAAATTGGAGAGAATTATCAAAAAAACCTCTTGGAACTAACAATAAGCAATTACAGTAATGTTTCAGGATATAAAATTAATATACAAAAGCCAATGACTTTCCTATATACCAGCAATAAACAAGTGGAGTTTGAAATTAAAAACACAACACGATTTACATTAGTACCCCCCTAAAATGAAATGCCTAAGTATCACATATAATCTATACATGTCATATATGTAAACAAAATATGTATAAGATCTACATGA